AAGTTGTATTAGCATTTCCTTAAGTGTAACGAAACCTGTGTGTGTGACGGTGCGTCACACTGTCTTTAGTACTTCCTGTTTATAATGAATATCTGTGTGTTTGTATAACTGCATCAGTATCCCTATTTGATTTGAATACCTTTGCGTGAGTGTGAGTACTACTGACTTGACTACTTCATGTTTAAATGAAAACCTTTGTGCATATGTGTGTGCAATTGTCATTAGGATTTTCTCTGATTCTGTTATAAACACCCTCGTGTGTCTACGTGTGTGTAAAACTGTCCTTAGCATTTCCACTTATTGTTATGAATATGTGTGTGTACAGGTATCTGTCACTAGCCTGTCCCCTTGTTCTGTTATGAACACCTTTCACGTGTGTGTGTAGCAATGTCATTACGATTTCCTCTTATTTGGTTATGAATTACTGTGCGTGTGCGACCGTCAGTCTCATCCTCTTTTGTAACATACACATCTGTATGCACGTGTAGAGCTGTCATCAGTACACTCTTGTAAGGAACCTTTGCGTGTGATGTGTGTAAAGTGTCATCAGTATTCCGTTTGTTATAAATTTGTGTGTGTGTAAAACTGTCATTTGCATTTGCTCCTGTTTTGTAATGCATACCTTTTAGTGTGTGTGTCTTCTAGGGTGATGACTACTTTCTTCCATTTTGTAATAAATACTTGTGTGTGTGTGTGTGTGTGTGTGTGGTATACAACAATCATTAGATTTCTTTCTACTTTGTAATGCATATCTTTGTGTGTGTGTGTGTTTGAATAATATTCATTAGTATCCTCTGATTTTGTTAGGAATATCTTTGTGTCTGAATATGTGTAAAATTGTCAATTATTTCCTATTTTGTTAAAAAACCTGTGTGTGTGTCATTAGTATTTCTTCCTATTTTGTTATGTAGAACTTTGTGCGTCTTTGTGTGTAAAACTGTGATTAGTATGTCTACCTATTTTGTGATCGATACCTTTGTGTGTGAAGGTCTGTACGACGGTCATTAGCATTTCTTAGTTTGTCATGAATACCTCTGTGTGTGTACAATTGTCATCGCATTTCCTTCAAATATGTTATAAATACCTTCACGTGTGAATATCTGTGTAAGACTGTTATTATATATTCTTCTTATTTTGCTACAAATACCTTTGTGTGGGCGTGTGTATACTTCTTGTTAGTTACCTACTATTCTGTGTTTAATACCTTTGACTTCAGCTGTGTCAGATCAAGTGTCATTATCATATCTGCTATTTTGTAGCGAATCCCTTTGTGTGCAGGTGTACACACTTTTCATTAGTTATTCACTTTGTAACGACTTTTGTGTGTGTGTGTCTGTCCCACTGTCACTACTATTTCCTCATTAGTAATAACCACCTTCCTGTTTGTTCCTGGACAACAGTCAAATACTTCCTGCCATTTTGTTACGAAGCCTCCCTCACCTTTCCGCCGGGGCTGGTCGCGGTGGTCCCTTGATACTCATTTCAAAAGGAGAAAACTTAGGTTCAGAGAGGTGATCACACAGCTCATACGTGACAGAGTCAGAATTCAGACCCACAGCTGTCTGAAGTCTCCCCAAACTGACCTCTTTCCACCAGGTGAAGGATGCCATTTTGGCTTCTTCCTCGACAAGGATGGAGGGGCACGTGGGACGATGGAAGGGCGGTCCAAAGCATCGCTGGGCACACTGCCTGTGGGTGGCCCTGAAGTCTGCATGAGGATACAAAGAGGAATTAGACATATTTTCTACCCCAAGGAGCTCCATGTGACCCTGAGTGCTTCTCAAACTTCTGTACCCAAGTAATCGCAGATGACTGAACACTCCCTACAGAGCCCCAAGGCGCTAGGAAGCCTGTGCATTTGCCGCAAGTGAGACATTTCTCGGAAGTCCACACTTTTAGCTCACAATGCACGTGAATTGAGTGTGTAATGCCAGAGCTCTCATATATATATGTGCATATATACATATATGAATATATACATATCCACATATATATTTATGGACATATATAAATAGATATGGATATATACTTATGGATATACATAAATATATATATTATGTATATCTATATCTAGATATAGATACAGATACATAGATATACATACACATACGGTTTTTATAAGAAAAGGCTGTGTTGCCCCAGATCTTTTAGGGAAGACAGGCCGTTCCAAGCACATGCTTTGGAAAACATCTCCCAAGCACTTCTGCTAAGCTCTGGCCCAGGGCGGACACAGGGTCCCTGCTGGGAAGCAAGAGGCCGTGAAAGTCTGTTACTCTGCAAACTACCAGCGCGGTGACGAGGCCGCGGGGAAGCACCTGCCCCGGTCACAGACTCTGTCAGCAGCCTGCGTGGACTCGAGCCCCCGCTGCCAAGTGACTCTTGCTGTGCTCCGACTTCCCTAGGTGACAGGGGTTTGCGGCTCCTGTCCCACCTATGGGACCCCCACCGTCCAGCACTGACCAAGCATAGTCGCGAGGTGGTGACTGTCTATGAAAACACACACAACCGAACGATGCGGATAAACCCCACTAAAAAATGGGCGGCGAGTCTAAATAACTGATTCTGTAAAAGCAGACAGACAGCGGGTCCGGAAGAGATGCTCGACGTTAGGAATTAGTGAAAAACCTCAACTCTAAACTACATCACGTCACACCTCGCACCATTCTCATCGAAAAGACAATGTGTAACAGGTGCTGCCATGACGCAGAGAACGGGCCTCGTGCTCTGCTGGGGTGTCAGCTGCGGCACCCACCGTGGAAAGCAGTGAGAAGGGGCTTCAGAAAATCAACAGAACAAAAACAGAGAAGCCCAAATGTGGAAAGAACCTAGTTGTGCACTGCGGATGAATCAATAAGGAAAAGGTGACACGTACCGGTAAATCCTGTTCATCCACAAAAAAGGCGACGTTTCCATTTGCAACGACGAGGACGGGCCTTGAGAGCGTTATCCTAAGTCAGAGAGGGAACGAAAAATTCTCTATGATCTCACTTACATTGGCGGCCTAAAACATAAAAGAAAATTTAAAAAACCAAGCTCGCAGATGCAGGAAACAGACTGGGGGTTGCCGGAGGTGAGGGGTGGGCGGAGGAGAAATGGGGGAACGGGGTCAATGGCACGAGCTTCCAGGTCTACGAGAAATGAGCCCCGGGGCTGTGACGTGCAGCGTGGCGACAGGTAGTAATGTGAACGGCATGCGTGACAGCGGCTAGGAGGGCACATCTGAGGAGCGCCCGTCGTAAGAAAGAAGCTGGCAGCTGTGCAGTCAGACGGGACGTGTGGGGGCGAGGACACCAACAGCAGCATGGCACAGGCCCCTCGCGGTGGGGCAGTGACCCCCAAGCCCGCACGTGGCTGTCCCCCCAGCTCAGAGTGCACCACAGGGACAGAAACACCGAGAAGCTGGCTCCCCAACCTGCACAGTGAGGGTCTGGTAGGGAGGCTGCGGACACTGCTCCATCCACGTCGTCCCCAAACAACGTCCCCGCCAAAGCCGTGGTGACACGCCGATGTTTCCGATGGTGTCCTGTACCAGGAAGAACAGATTCTTGTTGAACTCGTGCAAATAACTGCATTTACACGAAAACAGGAACACACACTACGCGTTTTCAATGCTGGAAGATCGGCAGATCCTCGCGGTTCCAAAACGTACCTGTGGTGTCCTCGTGCACGAGGATCTGGTCCACCAAACTTCTGTTAAGTTACAAACGGCTTAAGAGGAAAAAAAGATTGCTTATAATCTTGAAAACAAACGTTAAAAATAAAAAAAAATTTCAAACTAATGAGTCAAAAAATCACAACGGTTCTTGTCGGTTCTTCCGGCCTGGGCCAGTAACTCTTGTCCTGCTGGGTCTGGTGACCACCATGTCCGCAGCTCCCTAAGCGTCCAGGGGCGCGGCCGCAGCCACCCACTGCCACCGCACGGCCATCCCACTGGGTCACCGTCCACGACAAATGACCTAAAATGGCCAGGGCTGTAGACAGATGAGGTTCATTTGATAAGGAGAATTATTCGTTTCTGTGGCACATAACTCATTGCATCTGTGAGGCTGTGGACGCTCAGCCAAACCTCTGGTTTCCTGGGATTCTGGCCCAGGTTCCGGGGTGCCTGCAAACACGCGGGAATCGAAGTGCGACCCTCCGCCTCGGGGACGTTTACAGAGCGACCGTCCGGCACTCAGATGTGCACGTGGCCCCTGACCAGCCCGTCAGGGGTCGAGGGCACGAGCTTCGGGTCCTGGGTGAAGGGTCTGGGCGTCCGAGGCGAACCTGATCTCATGCACGCACGGGCAGCACAGGAACGTGCGCTCACACCGCACCGAATGCAGACGGCTCCGAGGACTCACCTGTGCCGCTAGGTCAACGGCCAAGCATCCTCGCCTGCCGAACGGGACTCGACCCGGGAAACCTGGAGCACGTGCGAGTTAGTCCCTATATCTCTGGGAATCTAAGAAGATTTCATTTCTATCTGTGCTTCTTTCTCCCTAAGCCAGTTAGGCTGGGACTCCTTTAAGGGATTTTATAAATTAATCAGGTAATAACATCAGGAGGTAGGGAAATTACATGTCTATCATCTACGCATACGTACATGTGTTTGCATACGTGTACACATATGCATAGAAACACAGATTCAGAAAGACAGCTTATGGTTTCCGCTTTACCTATTTATGTTTATGAGTAGCTTCAAGTGTACAGCACAACGGTTAGGCATTTATATAACTTATGAAGTGACTTCGCCAGTGAGTCTAGTGCCCCATGCTCCACACAGAGCCATCACAATATTGACTGTGGTCCCTGCGCTGTGCTCCACACCCCCGTGACTGTTCTGTAACTACTAATCTGTACTTCATCACCCCGTTATCTTTTTCACCCTGTCCCCAACCCCCTCTCCTCTGCAATCACGTTTGTTCTCTGTATCTGTGGCTGTTTGTTTGTTCATTCCTTTCATTCCTTAGATTCCACATGTAAGTAAAATCGTATGGCATTTGTCTTCCCCTGTCTGACTCATTTCACTCAGCCTAATACTCTCTAGGTCCATTCATGTCGTTGCACTTCTGGGTGTTTATCCAAAGAATGCCAAAACACTAATTCATAAGTGTATGCACACTACGCTCACAGCAGCGCTATTTACAATAGCCAAGTTATGGAAGCCACCTGAGAGCCCACGAACAGACGACTGGACAAAGAAGTTACGGTTCAGACACACGATGCCATGGTACTCGGCCCTAACAAAAGGAAGTGCTAAAGTTTTCACATTTAAAAAATTAGCCACGAGTCAGGCATAAATGCAGTAATACAACATTCGCTAGTTTCTATGAGTTCTCTTTTTTGCTTTCTTTTACGTTTATTTTATTGGGAATGTGTTTACGGCAGAAAGATAAAGTTAACAGTTCTCTGTTCAACATGAAGCCTGGCACTCTTTACTGATGTTTACGGAGAATTTTAAGATTCTCTCTGCTCTGACGCACAATCTTAAGGAGGCTGAGCATTTTAGGCAAGAAACCTGAGTGACGTGGAGCAGCAGTCTGGACATGTCCCAAGCCACATCTGAGTGGGTAAAACATCCAGCCTGTTTGCGATTCATTTTGGGGGAGCTGCTTTCGGGGGTCTGTGAGTCCTGGGGCAGGGGGCCTACAGTTCTAGCGACTCTGGGAAATTGAGGAGCTGGGGTCAGAAAGAAAGTTCTAGCAGGAGCAAACAGAGGGACGGAGGAGGTAAGAAGGAAATGTGACCGTGCGAGGCTGAAAGGAGGCTCGGAGGTGGCGGACGGGGGCGGGGGGGGGTGGTGACAGGAAGGCAGAGGCCTCAGGAGTCAGTCCCCAGAGCAGCCGATGACGTCCCCAACTGCCCTTGGTACACTACACCCACCAAGAAAAGGAACAGAGATGGTGAGTGACGTGGTGACATGCTGGCAGGTGCAGTTTGAGACAAGAAGCTCCCACTGGAGGCTGTACGGGCCGGGATCAAATAGCCAACAGCCACTATCAGGGAGACAAAAAGTGACGAGCACTGCTGAGGACGTGGAGAAATTGGAACCTGTGGGCAAGAAGGCAAACCGGCCCGGCCACTGGAAAACAGCAAGGAGTTTCCTAAAAACAAAGAAACAAACAAGCAAACAAACAGCACTACCACATGACCCAGAAATTCCACTTCTGAGAAATTAGCCAAAGAAAATGAAAACACTGTCTCGGAAAGACAGCTGCGCCCTGTGTTCGTGGCGGCTTTATTTACAACAGCGACACATGAGGACAACCTAAGGGTCCGTTTGTGGATGAATGGATCTAAAAAGTTTGGTTTCTGGATCTCCATGTGCGCAGCT